AAAAAAAAAAGTCGCTAAGGGGCCTGAAAACTCGCTAAATATAGCGACAAAGTCGCTAAGTTGGCAACACTGGTTGAATCTAACTAAAAATTGGGAAAATATCTGAAAGACACACCTATTGAAGTTAGTAGAGTATGTTATAAATATTTCGTTTATATCCACTGTAAAGCCAAAATGTCATTTTTACCTCGCAGTAGTTTCCACAATTTAATACATGTAATTTCTTATGTTTTGGTTTCTGTGCAGTTGCCAAATTTAAAAAAATTGAGTATGATTTCATGTATCTTTATTCTGAAAAGTATCTTTTTGCTAACTTCAAAGCATGAACAACTCATGACTTCACAACTCAGCAAAATCCTTTCTGCTCAACTGACACATAATCCCCCATTTCAAGAAAGGAGCTAGAATCCAAACACTGAGAGTCCTCTCAAGGTTCTTTCATATTGATGATGTTTTGACATCTCCGTATGTAATATACTCTGAAATGAATCAAAGGCACACAAAGTGGAGGCAGTGAAACGGGGGGTGGAGTGGGGTGGAAAGCAAAAAGATAATCTGTCAGGGATTTAAACTATGAGAAGCTCTCTCCTGGATGCTAAATGTCGCAAAGCTAATGCCAGTCTCCGATGGGAAAAGTGGAGGATTAGCCACATCTGCACTATGGGAAGAGACGACAACAAAATGCTGTTGTTGAGAATTCAATGAAGCAGCAGTCTGTATCACCCGCTTATGTAAATTTGACACAAATTCGTACGCCTGCAACATGATGTTTGCCCTAAAGATGACAGCAGCTTGTTGTGTTCAATTAGAAAAGTGTTGTTTATCGGAAAATGTGCCGTTTCTCAGCTGAGATGATCAAAAGTCATTGCTTTTGTTTTAATTATGTCTACTGAGAAAAGTAAGAAACAGATCTTGGCAGCTTTCTGTATTCAAACAGCGCAAAAGCTAAAAGGCCAAATGCTAGTTTGACTCGTGAGCTGCAGATATTCTAAACACATCTTATGTTAAGACTCTCTTTAGATCAAAACTCTTCATATCCAGCATGTCTTAGCAGAAGGTTCGTGGCCGTCTCTAGTAACTCTAAATATTATGCTAGTTCTTATTAGGCTTTATGTGACAGAATGAAA